AAGCTAGTTAACAGGTGATTTCAAAAGACAAGAAAGAGAACGAACATCGGAAAAGCTGTGCTTTTACGATGACACATGAGAGTAAATATATCACGAGCTTGTTCACTGTACCTTTCAGCTCAAGTACGATCGTGATCAACCTGGCCATGCTGGTATCGTGTCCTTCCTTGAAGGCGTCGATGCGCCGTTGTAACATTTTTTGGACCTATTCGAGCAAGAGGACGCCTGGTTGCACGTCCTGAAGACTTCGAGAAGCTAACGCCTGGTGCGGCCTTTGCGTGCCTCGCGACATGCTTTTCCTAGGTGCGCGAACATCTCGCACTAAAAGCACGGAGTGTTGAAGTTTCCCCATTTCGGGAAGAAAGAGGAGCGGTAGGGCATCGAGGCGAAAGTTGGCTCCGCGATGGTAAGTATAGACCAATCAGAGAGTACCCCATTGCGGCTTGGCGCTGATAAGCACAAAGCGAGTGGTGTGTAGGAAGAATGTTCAATGTAGCCCAAAAGCTTTGGGCTGCGCAGTCTCTGCGCATTGCCACTGTTCTAACCCGCAATTGCAGAGTGTTTTCAATGGTACCTGTCCCTGACAATTTTGCTCGCTACAGTTGCCTGTAGCTGGCCTATAAGGCGAATCTTCCAACCATACTGACTAAGCCTTCTCAATTGTTAGTCCACAAAGCATATTAGGTCACACATGATGTGCGCACCTATGGTGAAGGCCGATGTAGACCTGGTTGTCGCACGTCTATTTTGGTTGTAAAGTAAGCAGATGGCACGATGAGAATGGTTGTGAAAGGGTACGAAGGGGTGGGAACCAAAGTTCGGAGCGAACGCTGGGACCATGTGGACTATGACCCCAATAATCAATTTATTGCCCATCTGCGCCCGGCTGTCGCAAGGGACCCACCGGTGACTGGTATAATCCCGCGTTCTGTACTCCCTGTCTTTCAAGATGATGCACTTTCTTACATGCCTTGATGATACACTGAGTTCGTCGCCAGTACTTGAAAAGCTGTGATGGCTTGACAGACTCCAGAGCTTGAACGACGGCCTCCATTAGATCTGATACTGTTGCATTACTGAGCAAGGGTAAATAGCGAGTAGCGTGTGTTTGCAGTGCTTCCGTGCATATTGCTTGCATGAACTCCAGTAATATTTAATTCAGTCACGTTCGCAGTTGAACTCAACATAGAACATTACAAGGTGTCCCGCATCCTCAATAATCTTTTGAAATCGGACTGTGCAGCGTTGCCGCCGAGAAAAATGCCATTACCGGCGAGCAATCTGCCATCGCCGCCGAGAGAGTCGCCTTCATTGGGACGGTTGCCCTTCCAATCGCCACCAATGGCACCGGATGAGAGGGCTTGTTAGCTTGCTCTGCCCGTTGCTGTTGTAGGTCACTCTGACAGCACAGATTGTTCCGAAGAGGAGTTCTAAACAGTCTCTGCATATGAATGCGCACCCTCTGGGGCCTCATGGTTGCTATGAATCTCTTTCCCGTCTCCAACATCATCATCACGATGCAAACTTTCCCTAGCTAGAGTGTCCAAGTGATCACACCCCTTCCGATATACTTTGACTTCGGATCCCTTCAACCATTGATTGAACGACACTAGCGTGCATCATAACTCCTCCAGCTTACAGCTCCTCCTTTTTGTGACAATATTCACAGGGCTATAATTCAGGCGTCACTGGTTGGCGTATCGGCACAAACATGGATCCACGAAATTGAAACTTACACGGAGACGAGCTGCTCACAATTAATACTTGATACGCAGGTGGCAAGCTAATCCTTCCGCATTTGTGCAAAGTCAGACAATTGCTGTTGATTGAATAAACACAATTGTGTGTAAAATCTGGCCAAGGTGTTTCCGTCCATGCGATTCAATGTCGAGTTCGTGATAAAGATGGCCGAAGCTCCCGGCAATATTGTAATTTGCCGCGCCAAGAGATCCCCCCCAGTTGCAAGGCACCCTCATGTCTTCACATGACTTCCTTTGGAATGAATGCCTGATTCGCAACGAAGCTGAAACAGCCAAACTGCAACCACCCGACGTTGCTGGCCAACCTTGCCTTTCTCTCACAATTTGGCATTCTTGCCCACGTCATTAGCACCAACCGTGTCCATATAGTACGCAATGGCAGTCACTTGATTCACGGCAATAAGAGAACAAGATTGCCAATATGTTACAGCCAGATGCGACATCCGCAGGATCCAAAGACCTAGCTTGGCAGCTACCCAAACGTGTTGGCGGTTCAATTGCGCCTGATCAACATTGACGTTGGGGCTGTGAAAAACTCCTCGCTCTGGCAATGCATGTTTGCTTGCAATATAATAAGTGCAGACACACAGGAGACTATATCGACTGGCCTGCCGCAGCATAGCAAACCCCATTGAAGCAGCTCATCCTTTGGGGTTGTTATATATGTCCTGCCGACAGAATCGCAAAAAGACAACAAATGATCCGTCCTACCGGCAAACTGGCTGTTGGTTGCGGTCTTGCGGCCGTGTCAACTCGGCTTCAGGCGCTGTATGGACAAGTAAAGCGACAATGCATTGTAGAATTCCACAGCCATTGGCGAGAAGATGCGATTACCCCCAGAGGACCAGTTCGCAGCACCCAAACAATCGTCACCACAATATATGTGTATCTAGAGATGTACTCCCGCAGTGGGAACGACCGGTAACTGCAAAAATACATCATCGTAGTGGTTGACGTCTTACACACTGCAACGGAATCGCCGTCTATCCTCGGCCCTTAAACATTTCTGGCACCTTGGGGACCTAGTCATTTCGGCGGGCAGGTAAAGGTACAACGTGCGGCCGACCGGCGGCTAGTGAAGAATGGCACGATACACTCGCGAGCTCTGCGATACGGGGCGGCCCTGCGCTGGGTAACTAGTAGATTGGCCATAGATTTCCGACACAGTCACACTTGCGAAACATGAATTGTGCCGTAGTTTATACCACACATTAGGTGGTCACTATCATAAAAGAATTGCGTCTGGGTTAAGGAACACATTTCAAGGCCCCGGCTGACAGTGCGGGAGTCACTTGGAAAGATTTGGAATGAGAATGATAGGAATAGCGGCGTGTTCGTGTCATATAAGGCCGGTCATCATATGCGAACTGCAGGCAAACGGTCTGTCTCCAGAGGTCTATGGAGATGTGAGAGAGAATGCGAGCACTTTGTGCGCACGGAATGACAATTAAATTATCCGCAGTATCCATACAATTGCCTAACCGACCGGAGCGCAACTGCCAGCTATAAAGACATCTGTCCAGGCCAATACTGGCAGTGGGGCACATGGTGGCCAGGAACTGGCGTCATAAGCGGCTGTGTGATAGGTGGCCTCTCAAAATGAGTCACAGTCAAATCTAATTCCTACGTCACCCAGGTTGGAAAAATCGGTGGTGGGTACAAAATCGGGTGATCCACCGTGATCAATGAATGTAGAAGTGGTGATAACGTGAGGCAGGAGGTGTATCTTTTTTTGAAAGTACGGCGAGATTATTGATTAATCCCACCCAGTGTTTGCGTTTCCAGTATCAATTGATCACACTAAGTCACTTCAACGGGCTATGCTCTGGCAATAACTATAGACACGCGTCACTGAAAACCACTCTGGTGTATGCTTCATACTTTGGTTTGCCCCAGTCGGACTTGCCTACTAGCTTATCAGGCTTGGATGGTAATGGCACGTTAAAAACAACACCTAAAAACAACCACATTGACAGAATGAACATATTACACTCTGAGACCATGCCACTTCAAGCCTTCATTGATGAGTTGAGGCTGTAATTCCTCTTCCTGAGCAATACCTTTGTTAGGTTTTTGGGAAGAGGAATAGTTGACGTTGTGTGTGTGCAAGTTGGTAGTTTGATAAGACGTGCTGGTATGAGTGTGTGATGCATAGTGAAAACTGAAATATCATAGAGCAGGATTTCAGTTCTACAGACGATTGGACGTCCACTGCACGAGAACCACGACGTAGCTGCGGGCTGCGCATCGGCACAGCCACCGTGCGGTTTGGCAATGGTGTACGTCTGAATACTCAACCTGCCTAACCAAGGCCGTTTCTCTAGAGCTGACGAGCCCACACGTGGCTTGACGGTTGCTTGAAAGATCTGAGTCATTCGTGGCCGCCAAAAGTCTCTGGCCGACCTGGTTCTCAGAACCCGTCGCAATCTCGGAATGGGTTTACCGATTAAGGGGTGTGCCATGTGTCACAGCCGAAAAAGTGAAGCATGTCATGGTTTGTGCAGTCGTATAGCCACCGCCAGTGTTCCCAATGGCCTGCCCAAAATTTCCAGTCATGCGGGCAGGCAACCAAAAGGCAACAGTCCGGCTGTATCAAATCAAGACGGGCTGCAGGGCTGCCAAGCACTTTCGACCAAAGGTGAACTTGTCATACATCCATCAGTTTGACCTAGTGACGCTATAAAGCGCAAAAACTGAACAACTTTTCTGTGTATCTGTCGCTCTATTCTCCATGGTGCATGATCTCTGCATCCGCTGAAAGCCCGCCGGTCAGCATAACGTGGGGTGCAGCCGAAACAGAGCGCCCATCTTTGCGATCAGCGTCTCAGGCGGGCTAATTATCCGGAACACTGCTTAAGACTACCCACAACCTCGTCTGTGGCCGGCTCATGTCCATTACTCATCGCGCAGCTGAGAAGTATTAAAAATGATTCCCATTGTAAATGTTGCTAGACTGGTCATTAAATAAAAAACGACTTTGCTACTTAACATGGCAGAGACCAACCTTGGAGACTACAACTACTTTGTCGTCACCCAGGCAGCGATGATGGCTTTGATGTTGATTTCAAGGATTACTAAACCGTGAAGAAGGGCGTAGAGCCTCACATGCTGTGTCGGATGATAAGATGGAAATAGCATTCAGCCATTAAGCAGAATAACACAATGCCATCCGGCGAACCGAAGGGTGAACGCATAGCTCATGTCTCCATGAGGGTTCCAAAGTTTACAATAACATCCGAAGTTTGCATAGCTCAACGGCAGAGTGTGCCGCCCTTCAGTGGCTTCCATAAACACTGGAGTCCGATAGGCAAATCCTGGTTCGAATCCCGGTGCGTTCATCTGTTTTGTTCTCTCTTTTTTCTGTGCTTCGCGTGCAGAGTGAGGTGCCAACATGGGTGCCTTGCCGGGAGATGCCGCATCAAACTTGACACCAACCCGCGGCGAACCACCACTGTCCCCTCCAGCTTGTACAGAAACGATTTTTCCCGTCGTTCTTGGGTGCGTTCCTTGCTTGCATGCGTATCTTTGTGTTCATTGGGTGTACGCAGTCACTAGTAATGTTCACAGTCGCTTCACAATGTATGGAACAACAACAATCATTCTGGGACAGGCACGTGGAAGGATAAACACCGCGGGCGATGGCGCTTGAAGGACTGACTAACTATGGCGGAATGTCTTACACAGTTGTCCGTTTGGACAACTGGATGATGCCTCAACCGACGCGGTTGACCATGGTTGCGCGCTGTTGCGTTCCTGGTACCAGCATCGATAACTGACCCGGATGTCAAGTTCGACTACAGCTGGCTCCCCTCAGGTTTCTTTTCTGATCTATCACATGGTCACCAGATCCTGACAGAGACTTGAGAGCTGAACTGCAGGCCTTCATTGGCTTCAAAGAAAATCTCTTTGCATACGCCTCAGGAATAAGGTGTTTGCGCGCGTAGGTCGCCGCCGGAATGTTGCCCCGGAGACGCTCTAGGGTGTGATCAGGAATTCAACAGACGGGTTAGCAATCGTCCTGTTCGAGGAGGTGGAGGTAAATGATGCTTCAGAAGCTCCATCGGCAGGATTCAGACGGTGAGGGAAATAGAGAACGCGATGACGGCAAAGCCTGGATCGAACCGTGTAACCCTCAAAAAGGTGGCGCTGGTGGTCACATGGGCATATTGTACTTGGAAGCGGCATTGGCAATTATATTGGCAGGTTTAGCAAGTCATGATACAATGAATTCTGGTGTCTCGAAGCCTGTGCTGACGCCATCGCAAGCTTGCTGACGCCTTGGCGTGCTTGCGCTGTGCAGCTCCACGTGCCTGGATTTATAGTGCACAAGTAAAGGATACAGGGTTCTTGGTCGTCACTGGCAACGATTTCATCGTACCAGTAAAATCTGCAGCTTCAAATATTTTACCAGTGTATACACTGCTGCCACATTCGCCCAATTCAATTTTATTTAAACACCGTTCGACATTCAAAGTACAGCCACAAGTTGCGGATACAGGTTAATTCTTGCTCCGAGCTTCCAGCTAACAATCACCCCGTTGTGACGCCGCTTGCACGACGGAAGGAAAGACTTTGTCGGGTATTGGATTTGCTGTACAAGAAAATGTGCTTAGCCCAATCGATGACGTCGAATGCAGAGAAGTACACTGAAAGCAGTTAGCACAATCCACAGTGTGGGAGTGGGCTAAAGCCTTAATGTCCGTCTTTACCACCAGTTGTACAAGGCCAGATCAGTGTATAAACCTCGGCCGCACCAGAAAAGAAGTAACCAAAACGCTCCCGTGGGTAAATGATACGTTTGCATCTATGAGAGAATGAAGATGAAAATATTCTAGACTATTTTCATCCATCACCGTTACGAGTTGTACAATCCTACATCGCGTGAGCTTGGTAATGCCCGCCTGGCTATCTGACCATGCAACAATCCTTCATGAGGCAAGGGATAAAATTGTTCTGATCCCCATCAAAACGCAAATTACCTGAGCAACAGGTTCATGCTCTTGGCAATCTAACTCAATTGTACCGACACCTCTAATTTCCCGACTGCAGCACGTGAAAGCAATGCACTTTGTGACCGGTAGGATGACACGCATAAGCTGGATTAGGATCAGATGGTATTAGAAAAGAAGTCTGATCTCAACGGAGACTGTCAACAATTCTGGTGTGGAGGAACAGACTGAGGAATGACTCTGATGGCTCAAGTCCAATGAGATGTGCTGATAACAAAGATGTGCTGGCAGTTGAGATAGTCCCAGAGATTGAGAGCTGGTTGAACAGTAGTTTGAGAAATAGTATCATTTGAATAGCCAGGATGACTTTGCGATGTTGGCCAAATCGGATGGACTGCTACAAGCTGAATGACGAGCATCCGGAGTATTCAGTCGGAGTATCTGGATGAGTTGAATTATAGCGCGTTCAATGGGAGGAATCACGGTCCCCAGGCCCAAAACCAAACATGATAGTGGATGTGCTAGATAAAAACGTCCGACAAGTGTGCAGGCAGTCTTCGATTCACCTTGCCAGCTATTAAGAATAGCCAGCAATTCCTGGGTTTATACGCGACTTTGGGGTAAAGTCGACAGAGCAAATGCCTCCAATCAATAAAATGTACAACAGTGATTAAGCATGATCTGTGGCTGTATAGTGATGGACACGAGCCGAGCCAGATCAAGATCCGAACTCGAGCTGACGAGACGACTGGATCCGATCTTTCGTTTTCTACAAGCCGAGCTCGCTTGAGCCGAAGGACAGCGTACAGCCTGACGTGGTGTGTTGGATGGTATAATGAAAATATATATATTAATACCATTCAGCCATTAAGCAGAATGACACGATTCCATCCGAAGAACCGAAGGGTGAATGCAAAGCTCAGGTCTCCATGAGGGTTTGAAAGTTCACAATAACATCTTAAGTCCGCATAGCTCAACTGTAGAGCGTGCCGCCCTTCAGTGCCTTCCAAAAATGCTGGAGTCTGATAGGCAAATCCGGGTTCGAATCCCGGGGCGTGCAAGTTGTTTTTTTCTTCTTTTTTTTTATTCGTCGGCGGCTACTGACCAGGGCCAGCCTCGATGCTGACTATCCTCGCTCGCAGTTTGTCAAAAACACACCGCGGCACGTATTGCACGATCGTCGTCGAAGTGTCTTTCTATGAATGTACACGGTCATAATTGGAGTAGGGGCTCCGTATGCTAAACCAAACCCTCAAGCAGCCCACGTCCACAGGCTGGGCCGCTGGTTCGAAAGCAAGCCCAGCTATTGCGATCTGCCAAAGGCAGCACAGCCAGGCTTTGTAAGGCGTACTTAGCGTTTGCACGGAGACCACCCCGCCGGCATGTACTCGCTCTCAGTCCCTCCCCCTTAGATGGCACGACTATCAACCTGTTAGCAGTACTTTCTGTTGCAAGCCACAGTACCATTTGCCGCGGGCCTTCCGACGTCTGGAACTCGGTCGGGGCTTGGATGTGGTTCGGCAGCTAGCTGGCTTCGAATGCGGTCGCGTACATACGCTTTCGCGGCCAAGGACGTTCGTCCTCGCCAGTGCGTAAGACACCTTGCAGAACCCGCATGGCCACAGGCTTCCATCTCTCAGATGGAGCAGCCGGCGCGCTACCCTCCAACGAGGCTGCGCTGACCGCTGTACGCTATGACGCAGATTCTCCGCCACGGTTTGGACGTCATCACAATACCAAGCCGGGTGACTGCGTGGCGTGGTGATTGGTGCTCGCAGCTGGGTCTGCAAAACCGAGTGACATCAAGAGCAGCACCAGCCCAGCGTCAATGTCAACGGGACTTACAATGAGCGTGAATGGGGCCGCGCAGTCTGGCATATAAATACCACATTCCACAAGGTCTCGGCCACAATCCTTCCACCCATCCACCACCATGACGACATCCAAACTTGCGCAGAAGCCTTCGCCACTACACACTTCCCACAAACGCTCGCGTTACCCATTCTCCGACACCGACGACGACGACGAGTACATTCATCTTCTCAAACAAGCATTCGTAAAGCTGGTCCTTCTGAGTGATTTCATCCCAGCTAAGATCTTCCATCAGTCAACAGAAGTGGGCAAGGTAGGTGGAGAAGGGTAGGTTCTTCTGCCGAAGACGACGAATTTCACGGGCGGCTGTGCGAGAGCAGTCACCGTCAGTGTAGGCGTGACGGTGGACAGTTAACAGGTCGTTGAGGGAGTCCAAGGCAATATCTCCAGTATCTTCAACCGTGTAGGAGCGAAGCTGGTTAAGAGCAGCTCCAGTCAAGTGATTGAAGGCGTAGCGGAGGCGAGATTGTTTGCATGGGTAACAGGTTGGTTGAGCAGCAAGCTTGTTGCGGAGCTGGAGGATTCAGGTCCTCAACTCCTCTGGCTTGCTAACATCAAAGATGGGAGCATCGGGGCACCCTCCTGACCGATCACCACCTTCTTGGTTCTCACAAACCTGAGCGGCGGCAATCGACAAGACTTGGTTTATCCGGGCGGTCAGGTCCCGTGCCTGCTACTGGGCAGCAGCAAGGTCGGTGTGGGCCTTCTTCCGAAGGTGCTTGGGCGCCAGTCTCAATGGCTATCCACAGTTCCTGGGGTATTTGGAGATCATAATAGGTGGCCATGGTGTTGCTGGGGTACAGGTTGACGGAGCGAGTGAGTTGGGCTTTGGAGGACTGAGCCTAGTATAACGGGTATGGTCGGAAACAGAGTGGAGTGGCCCAAGGTACTCGCGTACAGACGGGCGACGGAAGGGAGCAAGAACAAGAGCAGGAACAAGATTCAAACACAGGACAAGAGCTGCGACACGCACAGTCACGATTCAGATTGGAACGAAGGTAATCAGATTGACATACGCAGGTTCAGTAAAGAGGAAAGGAAAACAAACAACAAAGCGGAAGCGAAGGCCCCTTATAGCAATCACGTGACCGCGGTGCGCCACGCCAGGTGGTAGCCGAACATAACCTCGGCTTGGAGCCACCCCACCGAGCCTCCCTACAGAGCCTCATCACGACACCTCGGATAACCCCCACTTATGAACCTCGTCACGTGACAACCATCTACAGGGGGATAAATCTGACATGAACAAATGAATCAGCATCCTTTGGTATCTTAGATCTGAGAGTTTCAGCCAATTCCATTGAGAGTAAAAGCCGGTAGCTTAGTCAAAAACTCCATCCAAACTCGCGCCGTGACACTTTGTAGATAAAGTGTGTTGGCACTTTTGCTCTACAAGACGTTCGGTTAGGCCTCAAAACGAACTCAAGGTGTAGGTCTGTGAGTGTTTTGGGGTAGGCAAGACGTGTTGGTATCATGCAAAGTGCTGCGCATAAAGCATTCTCGATGCCATGGTCACCCGTCATGTACTGTGACAGCTGCAGTCAAGGAAAATAGGCCTTTCAGTTCTCACTTTGTAACCTATCAAGATTTAATCTCACGGTCCCGAGAGCAAACTCACGCTTTTTTTGATAGCTGGGAAGGATTTTTCGCACCTGTTAAGCGTTTTGGTAGGTTATTTCTTTCTTTCTTTCCACTTGGTGGGGTATATGAAAAAGAATAAAAACAGAGTAATGATGAATGGAAGGCATCCGAAGAGTGCGAGGAGCTGCAGGCGCGGGAGTTTTTGGAAGCTAGAGTGATTGGAACTGCATCAATTGCAAAGGGGGGAAAGCCACCAAAAACAACGCAATCGTGGTGGTGAAAAAAACACAAAAGGGCAAACGTTAAAAGGGTGAGAAATACAGGCATTGACTCCTGGTGATATGTTCAACATGTTTGCAGACCTGTTCTGTGTCCCAAATGCAAACGACTTACAGTGGTGAATCCAAACTTTATCCTTCAGCACGACGCTGCGGAATCGCATGGATGCAAATACACTACGCAAGAGTGAGTCCGTGAAAGAATCAAAAACATGGACTGGCAGCCAAATTCACCAGATTTCAACCCTCTGCAGCGTATTTAGGCATTGATGAAGTCACGCATTCAGACATATTAACGCGAGAAGCAGACCTCGACGGTCAATGAAAGGAAGAGAGTTTTAAAAGAGGAATGGGATAACATGTCGAATTAGGAAATCAATAAGGAATTGGGAACCTTGTTGCGATTATGCTAAGATATATTCAGGTAAATAGTGGAAACAAATACCATGCTTAAAGACAGCCCCTTGTGTTTTTTTAGGATCCGGGTTTTTTTTTTGAATCTATGCTTGTCTTTTTTTGACTACAATTGAGTAAGATATGCTTTTTTTCGTGACACAGTGTCTCTTCCAGCGGGCAATCAAGGGCGCTCTCGCGAAATCCCTCTCCAATGCCAGGTAAATTGCGTGTCCGAATACTTAAAAATTCCCCGAGTATGGTTGCGTGAGGGGGGTTGTTGTCCACGCGAGCTTGCCGCGTTACAACTCTCAACATGCTGACAAAGCGTTGCCAAGGTAACGCATCCAAACTAGCCAAAGTTGTTTGTTTACTCACCGCAATCGCAACACTGCAACACCACGTGTCGCACCTCATCGCCTACAACGCCGGCCACAATAGCCAACTCCTTCATCCATCGCACCCATCAAGCAGTTGAGAACATCTCCACTCCTGAAGTTCCAATCAGATGTCGTCCAAGACTCCACGCGACTTGAATGATCGCCCACCTGCGCAGCCGGGTTCGCGGAACGTGTTTGGGATCGAAAACGCCTGCTTCCCACTGTCAAACAATGTGCACAAGGGATCTGATAATGCGACCCTCCACGCGGGTAAACCTCGCACTATCATGCCTCCCCGAACCATGACCATCCAGCGCCTCGCGTTGGAAATTCTTGCCGAGATACTCGCCGCTCTTTTGCACCTCCACGAAGTTGACCTTCCCCTCATCGATGGCTGTGTAAGCCCTTTCATCCGTGCAGTCCCGGCCGCCTCTCAAGTGTGGAGAGCCAACAGAAAAGCCCTTCTGAGACGTGTAGCTTTGGAGCAGCAGGATGTCCTGAAGCGTAGAGCTGTGAAAGTCCGTCGCATTCAGCTGCAATGTCAGTTGCGCTTCATTGTCCGACGCGCCACTTTCCTCCGTGCACCCACCCGCCTTGGAAGACCCCCTGGAAGAGGAAAAATACCGTTTTCGACTGTATCAGCGAGATATGGCTACCCACTTCGCTTGTTCCTTTCCCGATATGCATGCAATGTGGCTGGCCAATAGCGTTAATCGCCTCCGTTGTTGGCTGAGGCCTGGCGATATTACTTGCGAACTCAATTGGACTAGTACGTGATCGCCGCCCGCAGCGTTCTGTTCCGCATGACACTCACTGATATGGCAATCGCAGAGCAAATCTTTTTTGGCCCTTTGCACGTTCCGGACCACAGATGGTCCCAACTGGAGGTTAGTGGTGGCATGGTGCGCTGAATCGCAAACAATTTCTGCATGCCGAAGTTTTGTAAGGTACTTGAGCAAATTCAACCTGGCCTTTGACCCATGGTTATAGACGGCTCTGCTACGTGCCATATGGAGCACCCACAGCTCGTCTTTCATAAATTGGTCCGAGGTTCTCATTGTTGGTTTCACGTCGTGACATGTTTTCCCAGTTTGACGGGTATCCAACAGAGTTACCGCAGGAAAACATTCACTCGCAACGTCACGGCGTCCACCAGTCCATCAGCACGCAGGACACTGCCAGCACAGATTACGGCTACAACAGTTCCGATTCATTGTCAAGCTTCCCCTACTCCGGAGACATCAGCCCTGGATGAACAATTGCACCATGGCGCCCGAGGAGCCGACCCAGGAACTTGGCGGCATGCAGATTGGAACGTACCTTCCGAAGACTCAGTTCTGCATTCAGGAGCCCATGCTTCAGCTTCGCATTGGGCCGCACCAGTGCTCCCACACCGCTGGCTCCACCCACGTGCAAATGCCGGTCCAGGAGTGACAAATATGCCGGGCGTGGATGCGATTTAGTTATAACCAACGTTACCAGTCCCTCAGTCCGCATCTCCGCGCAAGATAGGATTCACCGGGAGGGATAATGCGCGGTGGCATCGCCAAAACTAA